AATCTGATGCCCTTTCCTGACCTACATGGACATCAGGCATGCATGTGGTACACGCATGCAGGCAAAACACCCATACACATAAAATGAAAAATAAATCTGTTTCTTAAAAGCTGCGCATGTGCGGTAGTGCACACTTGTAATCCCAGCACTGGGGAGGCAGAAACAGGAGGATCCCTGGAACCTGCTGCCAGCATAGCTAGCTAAATGGCAATCACTAAGTCTCGGTGACAAACCCTGTCTCAATAAACAGGGTGGAACGCATAGTGTGTATGTGTGTGTGTGTCTGTGTCTGTGTGTGTCTGTGTCTGTGTGAGAGTGAGTGCATGCATGCATGCCAGGGTGCACAGCTTTCAGGACTCAGTTCTCTCCACCATGTGAATCCCAAAGACTGAAGTCAGGTGTCTTTACCCACCGACTCATCTTTCCAGCCTTCAAACTCAAAACTTTATGCTTCAAGTTACACAGCTAAGAAAGTAGGACTGGGTCTGGTGGTGCACACCTGAAATGCAATGCAGCACTCGAGAGTGAGACCCTGTCTTGAAAAGAAGGTGGGAGATACTTTTTGAATGTCATATATCTGTTAAGTGACTCACAGCTAATAGGATGCCTATAATTTCAAAGAATGTTTGGTAAGTAATAGTTGGCAAAGATGTAGGGAAATCAAAACCTAGCTGCTAAAGGAACAGCACAAGTAAATCATCAACAGTCAAGTTTGGTAGCTCCTCCAATGGCTGACAGTGCAAACACATGACAGGCAGTTCCCTGAAATCAGATGTTCACACAAAAATGCATACAAAAGGCTGGAGAAATGGCTCAGTGTTTAAAAGTGTGTAGTGTTCTTGTAGAGGACCCATTTGGTTCCTAGCACTCTTACCAGGTGGCTCAAAACTACCTGTAACTCCAGCTCCAGGGAATCCAATGTCATTAGCCTCCACAGGTACCCACATACATGCATATGAGTATACACATACACATCATTTGAACTAAATAAACTCCTTTAATCTCAGCACCTGTGGGGCAAAGGCAGGCCAATCTCTGTGAGTTCAAGACCAACCTGGTCTACATAATTAGTTCCAGGCCAGACAGACCTACAGTGTGAAACCCTGTCTCCAAATAATAATAGAGCCTGGCATCGGGGCTCAAACCTTTAGTCCCAGCATTCTGGAAGCAGAGACAGGCAGATCTCTGAGTCTGAGGCCAGCCTGGTCTCCATAGTAAATTCCAGGGCAGCCAGGACCATAGAGAGACTCTGGTTCAAAAAAAAAAAAAAACTAATAATAATGTTAAGAATATAAATGTGTTATATTCATAACAATAAATAGTATTATTTCCAATAGGCAAAAGGTAAAAATCCATTATCTATTAATAAACAGATACACTGTAGTAATTGATCTATCTACATACTATAATATTAACTGGTCATTTAAGGTAGTGGGTGGGCCTTGAAAATATATTAAATAAAAGCGTATCACCAAAAAAGTTTCACGCAATAGAGTTCTACTTGTCTAAAATGTCCAGAACAGGAAATCTATAGCAGAAATATATCAGTGTTTACCTAATTCTGTGCTGGGACAATACCTAAAAGCCACAAGAGTTTCCTTACAGAGTAAAGAAAACATTTGGGAATTACAAAGTGGTATAGTTGTACCACCTTGGGAATATACTAAAATTGTGTTCTAGTTGTTTTAATATGCTAGTATGAGGTTTTTTTTTTTAAATCATTCAATTGTTTAGGCATGATCTTTTGAAGTCAAGATGAACTGACATCTGTGAAATTCCAAGTTGTCCATGAGACTCCCCGATTCCAATTGGCTCCCATGGAAACTTAGTAGAGGGGAGGTGATGTCACTTTTCTATGGTATTGAGCCAGTATGGCAGAAGCATAGCAAGGCAGCCCTATAAAGCTCTATTAAAATATAGCTCCTTTGCACTCCAGTCAGCCAGTGCCTCAATACCCTGGGTGTCAAGTGTAAAATGGCTAGATATCAAATAGCCAGCTACACCACTCCCTTCCTCTACTGTAAACACCAGGGTTTTGTTTTTGTTTTTCCATGCAAATTCCACCATATGGCACACAGCTGCGTAAACACACAGCCTCCACATTGCTCAGTGGCACTCAGGCCCAGCACTCCTGGAGAGCCAGGGAGCCTGGGACCCTGGAATGGAAACACAAGAGCCAGCTGGTTAGTGTGCATGAGGCTGCTCTAACAGCCACCTCCAGAACAGCCTTCCTGGTGACATCTGAAGACACACAGGCTTCTATCGTCCTCTATCCACCAGAGCATCTGCTGACATGCAGAGTCCACCTGTGCACTAGACAGAACATGTCCAAAACTGTCCTTCCAAAGCCTGGCCAGGTACTTCCCATGTCTGGGCCTTGGCTTTATTGATGGAAGAATGTGTTTAGTGGATAGTTTCTGATGAACATTTTTGTTATCTTACTGGATTTCATTGAATACAATCTAAGATACAACATGTACATCCCTGCCTTTTCAGACCATGATTAACTCCTCCCTTTATCAAAGTCAAATATAGTAATTATCTCAAGTTTCCTGTCACTCTTAAAACTAGCTGATCACAGCTGGGAGGTGGTGGTGCACACCTTTAATCTCTGCACTTAGGAGGCAGAGGCAAGCAGATCTCAAGTTTGAGGACAGCCAGGGTTACACAGAGAAACCCTGTCTGAAAAATAAAAACAAAAAACCTAAGTGATCCCAGGCTTAAAGAACACTTCGCATAGTTAGTTTGATCATTTATTACAGCTCTTCTGCCTTCCCCCTCAAAGTCTCCTATGTCTTTGTCATTAAGAATGGCATTACGGGGTTCGAGAGATGACTCAAAGGTTAAAAGTACTGGCCACTCTTCCAGAGTACCCAGGTTAAATTCCCAGTACACGCATTGCAGCTCCCAACTGTCTATAATTCCAGCTCCAGGGATCCAGCACCTCACACAGACATACATGTAGGTAAAACACCAATGCACATAAAATAAATTATTTAAGCTGGGCATTGGTGGTGCACGCCTTTAATCCCAGCACTTGGGAGGCTGAGGCAGGCGGATCTCTGTGAGTTCGAGGCCAGCCTGGTCTACAAAGCGAGTTCCAGGAAAGGCACAGAGCTACACAGAGAAACCCTGTATTGAAAAAAACAAAACAAATAAATAAATAAATAATTTAAGGGAAAAAAAAAAGAATGGCACTTGTATTGGTAACTATAATAAGGCTGCTATTCTTGGGTTCTACTCAGGCTGTCAGTTTTTAATTCCTTCCTGCTCCCCACTTTGTTCTAGAGCTGAGGTGATCAGGCAAGGAATGAAGTTGGCTAAATGCAGCAACCTTAACTTACATGGGAGCTTTTGAGTCCCAGCTTTCCTGAAGCACGTGTCTGAATGCCTGCCCTCTGCCCAATGTCAGTACTCCTGTCCGCATCATATGAGCTAAGAGTATACTTTTTAGTGAAAGCATCTAATTTGAGTCTTCCTTTTGCTCATGCGGCAGAGAGGCCTAAGGAGTGGAAATCGGCTCCCTCTTGCTTGAAGGCCAAGCCTCAGGCCCCACCTTGGAGCCAGCCCAAGCCCCAGCACTCCCTTGAGCCTCATGTACTGCTGCCAAGCACAGTCTGGAAGCTGAACTGCCACGTTCACACACACTCCTTCACGTTCCTCAGACAGTTGTTATTAATTTGGAAGAGCCTGAGGTTTAAACATCAACCAACACTTTCCACTGAAATCACTTAGGTATACATTTTTCTCCTAAAATCTTGTTCTGCTGAATTAGTAATTATCTGTGAAGCACACCAGCCCACCCCAGCTCTGGTGTCTGGGTGTGTTCTCTGTTGGTGGCTGCATGCATAGATGCTGGCAGTCATGGCTTTCCATGCCAGAAGTGGCTCACCCAGGCATAGTATTCTCTTCTGGGTTGTAATACATCTTTGTCCCCATGGAACCTTATTTGACGGACCTAGGCTAGCCCTTGGTGACAGTAGCTCTCCGGCTGCCCCAGAACAGCTGCACCTCACAGTCCCTGCTTGACTTAGGTATATAACCCTAGGAAGCATCTCCTCTTCAGGTACTGAGGGGATACATGGAAGGACCCTTCAAAGGTGGCCTTGAAACCTTAACATCTCATGATGATGGTAACCTCAAGATTGTTCTTTATCCTCTAACCCTGTAGTCTCTTTGTACAAGAACAAACTAAAGGGGCCACTGCTATGCACATCAGTTCTATTTGTCTTCCATTCAGATACCTGGAAAACAAGCTTTGTTGTCATGGTGATATAAATGAGTGTATCAGTTCTGATATGCTAGAGCCTCCTAGATCCTGCTGTGGAAAACAAGCATTCAGACATGTCCAGAGCAGTCATACTATCTGAGGAACCATACCTACTCTAGAATGACACACCTAGAAATCTGTGACATTCAACCCATTCCTGTTCTCTATAGACAGAACACTGAAACCAGGAATAGTACAGGTCTCACCATGAAGTCGACACCAAACCACATACTTTTCCTATCACAATGGGAGCCTGGACCCTCCACTACAGTGTGGGCACCTGGGTGGGGCCTGGCCCATGTCAAGGATTCAAGGGCAGAAGCTTATCTGGGTGAGTTGTGAGGATGGACAGACTTGCTATAGCAGGATAGCAGCCAGTACCCACAAGAGCCTCAATTCAAAAGGCTTTGCTGACATAGAATAAGTCTCCATTGTGCAAAACCCTTCAAACACTAGCTTGAGGGATGTAGTGCTCATCCAGGTCCTGAGAAGGAGTTGACAAGGAGCTGGACCAAGTGCTAGGCAGGCAGAAATACAGTGAAACTGGAAAGGGGCAGCCATAAGCTCCTGGGTGACAGAATAGGTAAGGACAGGAGTGGGCACAGTACAGCAGGCACCAGCAAATAGCACAGAGAACACCTCCATTTCAGGCTCCAGAATTTGTCTGCTGGCTTTCAGGATGCTATTTCTTCTGGATAGATCAGACTTAACCATTTATTTTCACATACAGGAGAAGTACCCAGAGAGCGTGTACCTCTCAGAGGGCACCTGTTCCCACTGCATGGAGATCCGCAGTGCCAGACAGCCAGGGTAAGTTCGTGCAGCAGTAAGTCCTGGAACCAGGACTGTCCATAGGAGAGGCTAAGAAACTACCCAAGGAAGACTAAAGAGTATCACGTGGAGAAATGGGTGGAATCACAGCAGATACCCCCAACAGTGGGCAGCTGGGCTGCGGAGTAGCCATGAAGGGAGAGCGAAGGTAGGAAGGAATGCAGGTCTGAGGAGCTGAATGCTGGCCTGGCACAGCAAGAGGCATTTCTCTTCAGGGCCCTTGGATGGCCAAGAGAAGGTAGAGAGGTAGATAGGCGGGTAGATGGGTAGGGTGTGGGTGTGTGTGTGTGTGTGTGTGTCTGTATGTCTGTCTGGGGGGGGCGGTTATGACAGGGGCAGCCATAGGAAGTCAGGTCACCAGAGCCTCAGAGAAGCCCAGAGAAGCAGGGGCACCTCTGCACTGGGCACCTCTGCACTGGGCACCGCAGACTCCAGGCAGCACCCTCCCACAGTCACTCTCACTCTTCTTCCTTTGTGTTGACAGATGTGCCCGTCTGTTCCTCAGGACCTAGATCAACAGCCTAACCATACCTAGTCTGCCTTCTAGAGCAGGGTCTTCCTTACACAAGCTGCTGGGGCTGGCCTTTGTCATGTGGCTGTAGTTCACTTCTTCTCATGCCTCATCCTCCAGTAAGGAGTTCTGACTGTATTTCTCAGGTCCTGAGGGTTTGGGCTTTTCATTCCTGTTTCTCCTGCCATATAGCACACGAGCTTCTCCTAGAATAAGAAAATTCCAACCATGAAGAAAGTGTGTGTGCAGCTTTCTATCAATTTCAGATCATTTTCAAAGTATACTGCCCCAACACTACCACAGGAACATCCTGTTGCCTGTCCCATTACTTATCATATTGATATTTGCCATGGTGTGGATTCAGAGCTTCTTGCTGTGGCCCAAGTTTGCAAACTGTCCTATGGAACTAATCACACACCTCCCTTTGTGGGGAGAGGTCCTTAGGAGAAGGTGAGCCTGGCCAGCAGGTGAGCCTGGCCAGCAGAGACCACATGCTCAGGCTAATCTTTCTAAATTCCAAGAGCACCAAACACTGCCTTTTTTTCAGGTTTGAACTGGTGATTGTTTGGAGGATACAAATAGATGAGGAAGGGAAGGTTTTCCCGAAGCTGGATCTTCTCACCAAAGTCCCAGAGAGAGGTAGGTCTCCGTGTGCATGGATACCCTTTCCGGAAGACTTCTCAGTATACTCAACAGAGAGTTTACATGGGAAGAATCAGAAGTTGAAATTGTCATTAATGTACTTTGTAGATCACCTTTTAACATACTTTAATCAGTAACTACCCAGACAGCACAGGAGAGAGGCCTGCTGTCCTGAGGCCTTTCCAGGCCGTGTGAAGCAAGGCATTTTCTCCATCAGATTACAGGTGACAGCGCTCCTTGGTCTTCCCCACCCTGTCTCTAGAGCATCCCATGCATGGCTGTTGGGGAGGAAAGGTCTTATTAGACAGACACTGCAAGGTTTCTTACCAAATGTGTTTTCTTCACAGCCCTGGAGCTGGACAAGAACAGGGTCATAGAAACTGCTCCTCTGAGTTTCCGAAGCCTGCTAGGAGCACTTGGAATTGAAGCTGCTCTAGACAGCCTGATACAATTGCTTTGTGTGGAAAATGACTAGTTTCCTGCTGGCAAGCATAAAGGAATAAGATGCTGGGCTGAGGAACATATGACTTACGTTGAGTATGAACATTTGCTCTTTTCCAACTAGAAACCACATCCTTTGAACATGCTTTTGTGTGTACTAGTGGTACATTACATAGAACTTCCATGGCATAGAAATAAAGCTTTTCAGATATGTTAAAAGCACCATGTAATAATGTTTTGTACAAAAAGTTTAATATTTGAGAAAATGTTCCAAGAATGGTTGTTCATTCTCAAATGAGTGTAGAAGAGCTGTGTCTCCAACCCCACATCAAGATGGCCCAAGACAGCATGAGACACAGCCCAATCCAAAGCTACCCACCTTGTCTGCATGGCAGCATCTCCCAGAAAGTCCTGACACTCCTTCTGTCCTCCTACAAAAGTAGGACCGTTTGACAGTGATGACTGCATTGTTCCTTTTACTTGGGAACTTCACTGAAAACACGCTCACAGTCTGAATGTGGTACAGGACTATAATGCCAGCACACAAAAGCATCCCAAGTTTAAAGCCAGCCTTGGCTACATAGTGAGTCCCTGTCTCAGAAAACAAAGGCTGAAGTATACCTCCATAGTAGAACAATTGCCTAATGTGTACAAGGCCCTAGATCCAATACCCAGCACCACAAAAGAACTACCCAGTCTAAGGCTGTATCATCTTAAGCACAGAACTAACATTTGGTGAGTGCCTCAGTTACCTGTTGTTAATGCTGCCAAGGTGATGGGTTGGTGTGGGCATCCTGAACTAAGCAGAGCATATCAGAACATGATTGGACTAGGGCCCTACCCACATCAGCAGGGTGCTCCATCTGTGTTCTGCACCACAAGAGGGGCTACTTGTTTCCATCCGCCTATCTATATTGTTTAGCCTCTTGCTAAATAGTAATTCTCCAAGAGAGGCCAATGTTCCAGAAATAAGTTTCGCAAAACTGCTGTGAGAGCCTGGGACCCAGCCATACCTGAGATCAGTACTGTGGCATCAGGCATAATTACCGCACACACACAGCTAGTTGGCCTCCAAACCAATCAACATTGAGTCAAAAACAAAACTGAATGTTGCTTTCCCTTGCCCATCCAAAGTCATAAGAACATGACCTTCAAGCACATGGCTTAGATGAAGGCTATAAGCACATATCCCAGCATACACCAATCAAAAGAAAGTCAAGGATCCAAATGTACAAGTTTCTTTACCTGAGTGTTCAATAATTAGAATATTAGGACAGAATTTAACAAATTCTATAGGAGGTCACTTGATTCAAACAAGTATAATTCTCAAATTATCACAAAATTTCCCACAAAAGTTTACAATCAGCAAAATATTTTCTTCATTTTTCATGTAGCATTTTCATACAGTTCCATGGTTTTTACTACTATGTTACAATAAGCCTTCATTCGTCTCTCAAAAGGATGATATAAATAATCAGTCTGTACAGCCTACCATAGGATAAAAAATGAAGCCAAAACTCCCAATGATTTCATAGCAGCCAGGCACACTTTTGGTGACCCCAGTAAGAATCCTCCGTGCCAGCTAGGAGCCTTCTATAGCCCTGATGAAAACAGCAAGGCCCGAGACCCACATACCTAACATGCCCCAGAGCTAACCCCAGGGATGAATGTGGCTTAGGAGGAAGAGAACCTTGTTCCTCAACCACCCGAGACACCAGAGTGCCAAGAAAACTCCGGGCTGTCAGGCACACCCACCCAGCTGACCACAGCAGCTCTGAGTACAGCTCTGCTTCCAGCCTCTACAGCAGCAATTTCAGGTAGGAAAGAACGCCTCAGCTCTCCCTAGAGTTAAAATCATAATGAAGAATTTAAAAAACAACAAAAGCAATGCTCGTGTGAGTGGTGTCCGTCCTGACCTGAGTCTGGTGTTCCCTGCTGCTGCCCCTTTACAAAGCCTTGGGCTTCAGTACCTCCACAAGGACCTGAGTCTAACCCACTCAGAACCAATGTCCACACTAACCTCTGACCGCTCTGCAGCAGGGAACCACCCAAAGCCTGTGTTGATGTGTGATTTGCATTGAAAAAAGTGACCAGTTAACAACTGGGAAAGTTCCAGTAGTATCCATGTTTTCTTGAAAATCCAAACTGTAAGATAATTGTGACAATTCAAGTTTTCTATGTCAAGAGTCTGGTGGTAGGAGATCCAAACCTTGGGTCTTAATAATAAGGCTTTTTGCATTAGAGAATTAGACGTGAGCTCTGCTTGGAAGAACTACCCAGGATGTTTTCCTGGGGCTTAACGGACACTTCCACTCTAAGAAAACAGATGGCTTGCTGGGACACAGCACTCACGTCCTACATTCCTTGTCCTAGAAGATTCTAGTGCTCTTCAATTCCTTGTCTCTGAGAGGCAGTCTAACCTCAGCAGGGGTTAAAAGCAAAAACATTCACAGCCAAGTCACCCAACACAACTGGAAATAGCTCTGTCATTCAGCTTTCACATTCAAGTTTCAAAGACACCGCAGGGGGAAAGTTAGACCTTGTGGAGAACTAATGTGCAATCTTCATGTTCCTTGAACCGGGTCGACCTCACAGTGTCATCTTTGGCATGCACAGTCTTTGAGTAATAGTTGACTATCTTGCTGTCTAGTTTATACTGGTGAGGAATGCTCTCATAGGGCTTGAGGTCGAGGTCCAGTACAGACACAGAGAAGGCCAGCCGGGACCTTGATGAAGGGATAACAGGCCTCTGGTCAGAGCTGCAAGTAACAAAAAAATTTTCAGATTATACAGACCCTCAGGTCCTCCCAGCCCAGCTCTCAGAGCACCCATTCTGTGTCTGTGTGCATCTACTGTCTGTGCCCGCCTCACACACTAGCACAGGTAAGTGACTGCTAGGCCACAGGCCAGCACACTGTGTCTGGGAAGAGGGTTAAAAGAACAGAAGGTGGAAAAGCCATTATGTGGAATGCATGAGTGATATTCCCCATGTTCCAGTGGTATTAACGAATGCTGGAAAAGTCACTTTATCGTGAGCCAAGTATTACAAAAGCTAAGAAAAAGTGAAAAGTAGACCAGGCTGTGCGGCAGCCAGCTGGATGACTGTTGAGAACAGACTCTCTTTATGAGCTTTCCCATTGCTGCTGAGAACCAGTTCCCTCGTGCTTTTCACATCTGGAGAGCGAGCTGCCTGTGTGTTAACTCTCAGGTCACATCTTCAGTGTTTGTTTCTCGGGGCCTTTGTGGATTTTATAAACATCAGAAAGTCATGTGCTTCTAACAATATTAACACTGACTTGAAACCTTTTCAGAGTAACTTCAAACCTGGCACTGAGGTTGCAATGTATCCAACTGTTCTGAAAACAGTACATATAGCACTCATACTATTGCCTGAATGGCATCTAATCCCAGGCTGGCAAAAGAGAACTGTTGGGGAGTTCTGGTTCCTCCATGATCATTACTCGTGTGGATTTAGAAATCATTAAAAGAAGAGACAAAATACCAGTTTCAAAAACTCTGGAGTTGGAAGAACAAACACTGACATACATGGGCCTGTTCTAAAGTACACTAAAGCCTTGATTCTCATTTCTTGTTCCAGAATCCTGTTTATAGGGAAAAAATTAAATTGGGCTCAGTCACAGGTCTGACAGGTGACCACAAGCTCCAGGACAGCCAAAGGCACAGGCCAGTGTACACCAGCCTCTTAACACTGAAAGGCTTGTCTCTTCAGACTGTATGGCTAAGACTCATCAAATGCCCGGCACAGCTATCCCAACTGCCATGACCACATACATACATACATACATACATATCCCTATGGTAGCCCTGGAAACTGGTACTGGAATAATCTAGGGGCTGCAGAGCTGCTGTCTTAACCTTGATAGCTATCCTCCAAGACACTAACCAGCCTCAAGGGAGGCCAGGAGATAAACAGTGAAGCCAGAATGCACGCTCTTTGTAATAGACATGGCAGGGTTTAGGGACAAGTAGCAATAAGAACTTTCCTGGTAGTTCCAAACTCTTCAAAAGCCTGTAGCAACAGGAAGATGACTTACAAACTTCAGCTACGATAGAAACAAATGGCAGCCACAGAGGCTTGTGGGATGTCCATTAAAATTCAGGCATATAAATTCAGACTTGGATTTACTGTGAATCTTAGGATGGACCCAGCCCTAATTTGTCTCTGGTTTCCTTAAAGTGTTATTTCCTTAAGCTAGGTACAGTTCCGGTGAGCACACCTTTCTCAAAGAAGGCTAATGCCTGTGAATATTCTCCAAGGAAAAATCGGGGTTGGAGGTCATCCTTCTCTAGTCACAAATTCCTGCAGCTCTTCCCACACACGGGCAGACAAGCAGAGCAGCAGAGTAACTTGGGGTGTCCTGTTGCCATCCCCCTAGCTCCTCTGCTCTTGCTTCACCCAACGTTGAGCCTCCTGAGACATGGGCCCTATTATCTGCCTTGAGACCTGACCTTAGCAGGTAAAGCAGCCTCCAAGGGCGGCTTCAAATTGGTCACAAATTCTCAATTTCCACAAAATAGGTTTGAGGAAGCATAATGCCAAATGGCAAAGCTTTTCAAACTTTCAAAAGTTATAAACATTTCACATTTTAAAATTAAATAAGCTTGAATCAGTATTCATAAAATACTTAAGAATGGAAATGGCTTGTTACCTGTTTTTCTTTTCTCCTTACTTTTTTACCTTGGACCTCTAAACAAAATTCATTTTTATCAGTGCATTTATTGTAACATGAAATAAACTACCAAGCCTGACAAAGAGCTCAGGCTCAGGATGAAATGTTGAGATTAAGTATTAATAAAAAATTATAAATTTCATAAGCAAATGGTTGCATCATAACTCAACCGTATCATTTGTACATTGTTTTCAATTTTCTAAATCAAAATTATGCGGCAAAACCACATTTCCTAGCCTCTAAAGATTCCAGCAATGAGAATTTGAGAATCAGAATCAGATAAAAAGTTATACTGGGTCACACTGGGAAGGTGGGTGAGTCCACATTAAGTGTCCCTTGATTTTTATCTCCTTGCCAGCTTAAAAAGGCAAAAGTGAGATGTTGGTCAGATTGAGCATGTCCACTATGGCCAACTATGTACCTCTGAGAGTCTACTATTCCAAGTCATGATGGTATTGCAGTTTTGTTTTAAGCACAAAAGTGAGACAATCTTCCTATCTCTGGAAAAGGGAACAGATACAATACTTGATG